TTTTCGATCCTCCCGGGGGTCTGGGTCACTCTCTGCCCCAAAGAAGGCGATGTGGTCATTGCTTTCTCGCAGTTCGGTGAGATCGTCGACTGCCACATGGCCCCTGAGCGACGTGAAGTCAAGGTTATTCTCTGCGTTTTTGTGGGTTTGCTTGAGGTTTCTTAGGAAAATCGATGACCATATCCGCCCTCCCCCCNNCCCCCCCCCCGTTCCCCGGACATATGTGGTATGCCGCCCACCGGTTCGTGCACAGTTTGCTGGAGGTGGAGCGGCACTCTGTTTTTGGAGACTCAACCTTGCCACGCCCACTCAAAAGCGCCGACAGTCATACGGATATTGTTGCATGGGTTCATTTCCCTCACCCACCCACAGAGGGAAGTGGCAATCGATGGCCATGCGCAGCATACATATTTGGATATTCTTGTGGGCATAGGCACCCAAGGACCCCACAACCCCTAAGGAATGGACCTCACGTCGTATTCTGGATCCCCGCATATTTCGGGTAAATAGGTCGCTCCATTGCTGCGCGTGGTTTTGGAGTCACTGGGCTTGCTGAAAAGTACGTACGTGGTGGACATGTGCAGTGTACCGCGGAGAAAGGCCCTAATATTGACTTCGAAGGTTGTGTTGCATACCAAGAGGGTCCATACGTACTACTATTATGGAATTAGGTCCCCCAAACCATAGTAAGGATGGTCTGTTAGGACCTAGTGTTGTATAAGTATCCAGGTAGGCATATTGCTCATGTTCCCCAATAGGGCTGAAGAGGATCTTATTTACGAACATATGTCAGGGTCTTTGAAGGGCAGGTATGTTACCAAGAATCAGTCAGAACTTCACATCAAGCTCTATACATGAGAACTGCCAAAGCCTACTTTGTTGTAGGGTCCCTATAAATCCTATTTCAGGATTTTAGATCGTTACATCAAGCTCTGAACCCTGAAGCATGGCATGCAGCACCCTAAACCCTAAACCCTAAACCCCTAAACCCTAAACCCAGGTTCGAGACAGGAGCACTGGGAAATCCAAAGGCTTTGCCTTTGTCTGCTACGATGACCAGCGTAGCACCGTCCTCGCCGTGGACAACATGAAGCTTGCCTTCTTAGGGCTTCAACCCTAAAACCTAAGCCCTGAGCCCCTTAACCCTAAACCGTGAACCTTAAGCCCTAAACCTTGAACGCCAAACCCCCAGGCCCTAAGCCCTAAACCCTGAACGCCAAGCCTCGTTCGGGTTTTGGAGCAGAGGGTGACGACAAACAACCCCAATGTAAAGTGTATATTTAGGGTTTAGGGATTAGGGTTAAGGGATTAGGCTTAGGATTTAGGGCTTATAGGGTTTGTAGATGAAGCCCAAAGACCTTGAAGGATCCTTGCAGGTTTGGCTTTAGGTTCGGGGTGTGGTTTCGGGCTTGAGGTTTAGGGGTTAGGTTGTAGGTTTCGGCTTATGGCTTCAAAGTTTGAGGTGTAGGGCTTCGGGCTTGAAGCTTTGGTTTGAAGGTTTACGGCTTGATCCCTTCTCTCCAGCAGTCAAGGAACGGGTACCAACTGCTCAAGCGAACGCTGAGGCTGGCCAATTGAGCGAGAAGTTTAACGAAGGGCTCCAAGGGTAAGATGAAGGTACATGGGTATACACCCTAAACCCGAAACCCTAAACCCTAAATGGAGATTGCTTGTTGCTGATGGAGACGGCCTTTGTTTGACGAATGACGAGCGTATGGTCGATTTGGTCAGAACAATTCCTGATGGGCATGAAGGAGTGGAAGCGTCCATCGCCCGCGTGAAGGAGCAGCTTACGCTCCAGGCCTCGAGACTCGCACGTGAGGCGGACTACATCGAACACATCTCCCAGGTGTCTACGGTGGATGTCAAGTCCTTCGTTTGTGTCCCAGCAGAGAAGGCAATTTTCGCGAGTTGCACCTGCATCTCAGCTGACTAGAAACTGGCACGATTAAGATTTTGTCATATTTGTGAAATTATGACAGTGTTCTCTCATAGCATGCCAGCGGTATTGAGGTGAGTCGGAGAAAGTCCGCAATTGGCCTTCGACATGCGCCATTTGGAGCACGCGGCCACCGACTGTGCTAAAAGATGGCTTGGCTTGGTCGAAGTACAACTGACACTGTGGAACGAAGGAGATGAAGTGGACAGCTTGCTCGTCTACGGGTTCGCAAACCATGCGGAACAAGTATGGGATGGCGTCGGATCTTGGCTGGCTTGAACTGGACGGCCTGGACAAGAAGACCGCTGCCTGATTCGAGACAGCCCCCGGCCCATTTAAATAGCTGGTAGTGATGAGGACGGGACAGCCAGGGCGTGAGCGAGAAAAAAAGCCCGGAACCAACTGCAAGCCAGCGTCGCTGCTACCGTTATGAAGTCCTGGTCCTGTTAACGCTATCATCTCGGGAAATAATAAATAATGGGATTATTTTGAGATTGTAGATGGAACCGAGGCGCTAAGGAAATCAAACCGGCAATGGAAAGAAACATGGAAGAACATGGGATTGGAATCTCATGGCATCCTGCGATGCCGGCTTGAAAGGTTGGCAGGTGCTACCGGCTACAGGCGACCCATTGTTTCCATTGTTCTTTCCATTGTGCCCGCAGGCCTCCAATCCATCCCATTTTTCCATTCTTCTTTCCATTTTTGTTCCATTCATCTTTCCATTTTTTCCATTTTTCCTTCCATTTTTTTCCAAATACTCCAGGGAATTTGCTCTTTTTCCAAAATTCGGGCCCTTCGGGAGGGCAGGGGGGCGGTGCCCGAAATCGTACCCCAGGGCGTGGAAAAAAATGAGAAAAAAATACACATCAGACTTAGAAGCCTGTCCAGAGTGGTCCTGCTCTGAACTTGTCGCCTGGGCGCCCTAGCGCGGTTCTCACTTCTTTTTCTTTTGTTTTTGTTGTCATTATTCTTTTGGTTTTGGTTCGTTTTTTTTCCATTCCCTGGGTCGGTCAGGGTCCCTCCTTTTGATTTTTTCTTTCCATTCTTTGTCCCATTTTTATTATTTCTGGTTTTAATAGAGTTATCAGGCCAGGGGCCATCATAATGCTATCGTGCTTTTTCGATGAAAGGGCACACTTGCACTCAGTAGCGTGGCACGGCAGCCCAATTTCGTGCTCAAGAGCATCAAAAGCAAAAAGCTCCGCGCCCCCACGCGACTATCTAGGCAGGAAGGTCGCTTGCCACAGCCTCGAGCTCAAGAAGTCATGGGGCTCATTGGCCAGGCAGAGGCCGGGCAAGAAGAAAGTCGTGGTTGTGCAAACTGATCGTGACATTTCCCCCTGATTGCCCAGAGCACAGCGGCTCAGCCTGCCAGGCAGAGTGGCCGCACTTCGTGTTCACCTGCCATTTCACCTGGGAAGCCGGGTGTGTCGTGGCCTTCCGGTACGTGAGCGGTGCACTTCTGGGCGTCGCTCGCTGGAAGGCTGCGCCCTCGGGCGCGAAGATTGCGCACATGCGTGTCCATAACGCACGAACCACATCTAGCTTTACCCAGGAGCTCGACAACGTGTGTGGCGGCGACCTTAAGCTGGAGGCAGAGAGCATCCTCCGACGACAAGGACTGGCACCGGACTCGTGCTTCAACATCACGCTCCTGCACGACCACACGACCATCACGGACAACGGCCGGCACTGTCCATGTGCACGTGGCATGCTCCGCCCACCGCCTCGGTCTCGTGACCGACGGCCCAGAAGGGCCTCATCACAGAGCTGCCAGACATAGAGGAGGAGGAGGAGGAGGAGGATGGAGACCATGCGGTTTCTCCCACCAGGCATGCCTGACGTGGCTTGCGAGAGGCGTCGGGCTTGAGACTGCCGACGGCCACACTTCACGCCCCGTCGAAGAGGACCCCAGAAAGATGGCTAGTACCTTGCGACTTTTGGTGGCTGGTGTCGCGTCGGGCGTGCGAAAAGTGCTTGGCTGCAGACTTCCAGGGACTGCTGCACTTCGACCTCCGTGCCCATACGCTTTCCAGAAAGAGGGTTGCTTGCGAGAACTGATCGCGAGCATAAGAGGCTCCACCTTTTCGCGCCCCAGTTACATTTCTAAGTTGGAACGGCGGGCTGGTGGAGGATCTGGCATGCGGAAGCTGGTCCACTGGGACAGTTTCCTTTGCCGTTTGTGTTTCGGGGCGAGGGTTCATGTTTCGATGATGCAGGACCCCTTTGCTGGAGATTGTGAAGTTCCTGGAACAACAACTGAACCTGAGCAAGGATGGTCAGGATGTGCAGCGTGTCACTCGGCTTTGCGCTCTTGGTCAGCTCTGCGGCCGTCAAGCCCGTGTGGCAGCTTTTTGCGTCTAACGTTGTAAAGTGGCGACAATTATTTTGTGCATCTTTGCTCATCGGAGCCGAGTCAACTCCGTCCGAGTCAACATCCGGCCGCCTTTGGTCTGTTGTGTGCCTTTCTTCTCGGTGGCCTTTTTGGGCTCTGGTGTGTCCTTTTTGGGGCGGGGCCTGGTTTTTTCGGGGGGAGGGCCTTGGAGCGCCGCTGGAGCGCTTTGTGTTTTGTGGCTTTTTGGTGGCCTTGCTTTTTTGGTCCTTTCCGGGTTCCGGGAATTGTTTGGGGCTGGTCCCAGAAAAGGGACCCTCTCGGGGTGATCTCCCCAAAGCATTTTTGGCCCCGGACAGGCCTCTTTGCGGCTTTTCTCGGGCTGAACCCTTTTTTAGCGGACTCCCTATGGCCTTTTTAGGCTTCCCTTTTCTGGTGCTTGGTTTTTATTCTGACGGCCCCGGGAGCCTCTCCCGAAACTTTGAGCCTTCTCGTGGGGTGTACGTTGTCCGCCAGGTTACTTAAACTAGGTGTTGGGAGCTGCTGTTCTTCACGGGGCTTGGCACCGTGCCAGCTTGTTTAGTCAGCAACGTGGGATATTCAGGATGACATGGCCTATCGGGGCTTTGTGCCGTGCCACGACACCCCCTGAAGACCCTCTCTTCCTTGACATTTTTTGAGTGTCGGGCTGGGCTGGACTGGGCCGTGGGAAATGGCGGCTGGCTCTGGGGCTGCTGGGGCTAGGATTGAATTGGACGGTTTAGGGGGTCCAACGTGAGCAATGACAAGCAATTTCTAGTTATTTCATTATTGAGGGCTTAGGGCCTAGGGCTTGGAGTTTAGAGTTTAGGGTTTAGGTTAGAAGATACCTCAAGCCACCACAAGATCATCCCCAATAGTTTACGGTGTACTCCTGAATCAAGGGGTTGTAGTCTCTGGCAGCCCGAATTCTCTCCTGAAACCTCATCAAACCTTCAACACCCCATCAACCGAACATTCGGCATTGAAAGCCCGAAACCATAGAAGTCTACAGCCATCCATCCAGAGCTTTTCCTGCCCGTGGAGGGTGGACCACATTGAGAAGTTCAAGGCGCCCAAAGAGTTCGACGAGAACGATTTGGATGCCGAGGGGAACCCCAAACTCTTGGAGTACAAGGTAGGGGGCCTTAGTTATAATTTGGTTTTGTTATAGTTGTATCATCGTTATATCATAAATCTTTATCAACGCTGCATTATAGTTATATTATGGCGTTGCTATAGCAGTATTATAGTGATACTATATAGCTCATATTGTGGCTGTCTACAAGTGCGATATGATGGCCTTGGTCATATCATGGGCCTCTGCGGGGTAGAGTCCAAGGCTCTGGGGTTCTAGGGTTCTGGTGTAGGATTTAGGGTTGAGGGTTTAGGAATTTGGGGTTTAAGTGTCAGAGTTCTCGGGTTGTCCAAGAGTTCAAGAATTTAGGCTCCTGGGGATTATCGTTTCGGGGGTGTAGGCAGGGATGTGCCATGTAGGGTTGTTCGATGCCTTCAATCCACAGGGTTTTTGTCATGTAAGGCAAAACCTCCAGGCTCTTCATTAGAAGCTTGGACTATAGTTATACCAGGCCCCCTAAATCCTAAACCCCTAAACCCCAAACCCTAAAGCCCGAACCCCCCAAGCAGATCTTCCCCCACCTCATCCCAAAACGTAGCTGATTCTCGATTCTCGAGGCTTCGGGAGCAGAAGGCAAGGGTTACCAAGTCTACAACGTCCTGGAGAGCCGCTTTGCGTGGGGTTTAGGGTTGGGGTTATGCGGTTGGGTGTGTTTGAGGGTGTTAAGCGTTTGAGTGTTTTTTGTTCAGATTTAACGGCACGGTTGTATTCTAGGGTCTTAGAGTTTACATGTTTTGTCGCTGGTGTTAGGGCTGTTCCGTTACAGTTACATGTGGTGCTTCTGTATGGTGTTTTTGTGTTTTTTTTCGGACTTTATCTTGAAGGCCTTCAGGTCGTTTGGGACGAAGGGCTGGGGGTGACCTTAAACCGTAAACCTTAAGCCGTAAACTCAAACTTCATCCGGTGGAAGGCAGTGGAAGGTCTGGTGGACTCGGGTTGGCCAAGAGGTGCAGGCCGAAACATGAAACCTGATTTAAAACCGTAGACTTGTGTCAGAATGGTTTTTGAGTTGGGCTTCGAATCCAAGGTAGTCGACGCTTATAGCGAACTTGTGCACTTAGAATCAGTGGGGTCAGGTGGGTTGGATGGGCAGCGGCACCAGGGAAGTAAAAGTGAGGCCTCAAGCCCGTAAACAGTAAACTCGCTACCACGAAACCCTTTACCATAAAGGTTCCTGCATAGGACTTGGGTATTTCGGACTGCAAGATTCTTTGGCATGCTCAGTTCCAGAACTTATATACATACGTACATACATACATACATACATATATATATATATATATACACAATATTACATACATACCTTATGTACATACATGCATGCATGCATATGTACATACGAATATTCACACATCCAGGCATGCATCCGTCCGTCCCTCCCTCCCTCCCTCCATTCATCCATCCATCCATCCATCCATCCATCCATGCGGAACCCGTGTTTATTTTTTGCTGTAGTTGCTTTATGTTGTTGTTTGTTGTCGTTGCGCGGACCCGGGAAGCCACTAAGTGAGTGAACCCCGGTTCCCGCAACCACAGCAAAAAAAAAATAAACGCGCCCCCGCAACGACAGCAACAAAAATCGATGCGCCTGCGACGACAGCAAAACAATAAACGCGCCCCTGGGGAGGACAGCAAAAGAAACACACGCCGCCGCAACGACAGCAAAAAAAATAAACGCGCCCCCGTCACGACAGCAAAAAACACACACGCCACCCCGACGACAGCAAAAATAAACGCGCCCCCGCAACCACAGCAAAAAACACACGCGCCACCGCGACGACAGCAAAAATAAACGTGCTCCCGCAACGACAGCAACAAAAAAATAAACGCGCCCCCGCAACGACAGCAAAAAAACAACGAAAGCAAAAAGTAAACATTCTTACCCCATCCATGCATATATATATATATATATGTACATGTATGTACATATGCATGTGTGTCTATATCAGCTATGTGCGTATACAAAGTATCTATCCGCACGCTTCCGCCTACACCTAAACTTTGACGTACACGGGCGCACGCACGCGCGCGCGTGCGTGTGCACCCAATCACATATACGCGTGCCTATTGTACACACACACATATACCCTAAACCCTAAACGGTTCATGGACAACTAACTAGCCCAGGTCAGAAGAAGATCGTCGAAGCGATGAAGCAGAAGAAGAAGTGATCCGAAACCGTTAATCTAAAAGTAGTTGCTAGGTGGTGATGGAGGATTACCATATGCCTGTGTCATTGCTTCGGGCTTGGGGTTTGTGATTATGGTTTTATATCGTGTGGGCTTTGCGGATTCAGGGTCCTTGATTGTAGGCTTCGTAAGGGCTTGATTATTGGGGTTGGGCCTTAGTGAGTGTTACACAGGTTTGTAGAGGTAAGCAGAATGCATTAGCTTAGGGTTCATGTCTTTGTAATGCTTTTCTTGGATCTATGCAGCGGCTTCAATCCTAAACCCTAAACACCAAATCCTGCGCACCTAAACCCTGCTGTGGCAGCCACCACTTCAGTTGCCAGTACAAGTGCGTGCCCCCAACGACAAGTTCCCGTTGTGGTCAGTGTCCTTATCAGCCTGTGCATTCCCAAGCTAAACTCCTTAAAGCCCTAAACTCTAGAGTAAAAACAACCCACAAGCACCCAAATCCTAAACCCAAGAATCCTAAACGTCCGGCACCCGAAACCCTCCCTATAAAGCTGCCTTTAGAAGAAAAACTCTCGTCGGCCCAGTATAGAACCCCGACAATTCTGTACATTGTTGCTTGTAACCAAGCGATGCCAGAAGCCCCTAATTTAGGAATAGAGTGACGGTATGTAGATTCAGCTTTATTGCTTGACGAACGGCTGCTAGAGTCCTTAAACCTAATTAGAGTCGTTAGCAAGAACCCCAAACCTTAAACTTAAACCCTAAACCCCGAGATCTTAACAAGATCCCAAAGCCTTTACCCTTGAGATTAAGCCCCTGAGCCTTAAATCTCGCAACCCTACACCTTAAACCCTTCTCCAGATCCCAGACTTGCAGACCCCAAACCCAAAGCCCTAAGCCCCAAGCCCTAAAGCTCCAAACCCTTAAACCCTAAACCCCCAACCCCCAAAGCCTAAAACTTCAGGAACCCCTAAACCCTAAACCCCTAGCCACCAAGGCTAAAACCCCACAGGAATCCCTAAACCCTAAACCCCTAAGCCCCCAAAGCCTAAAACCTACAGGTATCCCTAAACCCCTAAACCCACAAAGCCTAAA